TTACAGAAAAGATGTAACATATATATATATATATATAGAGAGAGAGAGAGAGCAATAACACAACAGAGAGATAACAGAAAGAAGTTTAAGAAGGTAGAATACTTGCAGAAGTCCTGGTTTAAGCAGAGTTAAAGTGTCCTGAACAAAGGGGTACTTTTTCTCACAAAGTTGGTTCCTGATGTTAAAAGGGAGAATCTCTTCTTCTCTCTCTCCAGGCATGACAGCTTTTCTAGTGTCCCAGCAGGGGGTGTCTACTGAAGCCAAGGGCCAATGGGCTCATTTGGGGAGGGGGGTTAGGCGGAGACCCAGGCTGTGACCCAAATCCCTCACAAGTTTATACCATGGTCAATAACCTTCACTAGGTACATGTAGCATCCTAGCCACTGGCAGATTAATATGCAGAATCATATTCTGAACGTCCAGACACCAGATATGACATATCTGCTTGGGGCGTTTAAAAGATATATCGCTTTCTGCTCTCTGGTAGACGTTATCTAGGGGGTGTAAGGTATCAGGTGACTTGTATTAAACTGACCTATCTGAATATATGCTTTTTTTTTTTATTGTACCTTGTTCCTACCGGGTTTTATGGAATTGTATGAAAAAGTTGTTTCAAGTGGGATGTCTGTTTTACTGCCACTCTGGAATCCTTTCATGTCCAGTGACTGACTGGTTTATAGCTTTACGATCAGGCCAAGGGCCAAGAAAAAAAAAACTCTCTAGCAATACACACCAAACTGAGCATGGCAGCTTTTCCCCAAGGTTCTGTTCTGTCAGCAGATGGATTTGGGACAGTAGAAGAAAGGGAGGATTGGAGGAGACAGGATCAAACAGCCTTTTTACACAATGCAGAAGATTAACCCCTTAGGCTCCACATTGAGTATAACAAGCATTCTTTACTGCATATACAGATTGATTTTACTGTTGTGGGTTTAGCTATATTTTAACTCTGTTTACTAACCTCTGGAGCAGCTTCACTTTGCACAGTGCACAATCTATTTGCCTTTAGTAAATCAACCCCAATGAGTGTGTGTCTTATGGAATGGCCATAGAGTAAGTATTTAGTATGCGTTCCAAGATAATAAATTTGAGTCTTGTATCACATGTGGATAGGTTAAAAAAAATTGTAATACGAGAACTAAATTCCCATTGTTATTGACATTATCAAATAGTCAGGTTTTGCCATTTGTTTTATGGAAATAAAATATCTAGTCGGTTGCTGTGATGCCACAGCTCCACTCATTTTCCTTTCTCCGGTTTGTAAGTATGCACTGGTTAAAATGTACTATGACATATGACACTCCTATTTTCAAGTTAAGCTCTTCATCGTCCCTTGGCACCTCTCTAGCTTGTTTATTGGACATTGAAACAGTGTCATCACACAGTTGTCTACTTTTTGGTGAGAAAAGGGAGTATACATTTTTCTGCTTTGTTCCCTCGGCAGCTCAGGGAAGTAGCTTGGAAAGTGATCTGCAGTCAGGTGAGAGGCCCTCCACTGTCAGAACTAGCATACAAGCACCTAGGCAGGAACCTAATAGCTTACAGATTCTCCAGAAGACCCATCCATTGTGGGGAACACCTCCCCGATACCAGATAACTCCAGTTCCAGTGGTTTTCTGACCACACTGCTTAGAAACAAAGGTACAGACAGGAGTGGACTGACTATTCGGGCACTCAGGCACTGCCCGAGGGCCTGAGGTCAGTAGGGGGCCCCATGAGATGCCCCTGGTACCTTTCATAGGCTTTTTTGGGTGTGCTTTGAGTCTGGGCGAATACACAGGGGCCCCATGATCCCCTATTGCCCAGGGGGCCCCATGAGTTGTCAGTCCGTCCCTGGGTACAGATATACATGGTATAAAGTGTCTATGCCATAGGTCCCCATTTCCAAGTACTTCTTTTCCATTGTCACCCTGTCACATGCTCTCCCTATACAAACTACAAGCACCATGCTGATGCACATTGCACAGACATGGTTACCTGTCGCTACCATCAGGAAACCTTTCCAGATAAATTAAGTGCAACAGCTGGAGGGAGTGTGCTTGCTTATACAGGCTCATTGAGATCAGCAGCACTCGTATGAAACAACGTATAAAAAAAGGTGGAAACTGTATTTTATTTTTTATAATTTGCATTTATTTGCAATACACAGTGCTTTTGCAAACTAAACGCCATGCAGACAAAAGCAGAGTGTAGTGGTGATGGGGCAACACATTGGGACTGGGCAGTGGGGGAGAGAGTAATGCTTTTTTATTTTTTGCACGTTGTAGAAGTCATCACATGGCTTTTTAGTTACCCTACTCAATTCAATATACAGCACAGAGGTAGACTATAATTTTTGAGAATCCTTAGGCTGTTTTAACCATGATAGGCACAATACATCTTTAATTATGATGACCCGGATGTGAAGAATATGTCAGTGGAAATTTAAGAAACCCTGTCACCAACTTAAAAAATGCAGATAAAAGCACAAAATTAAGTACATTAAATGCTAACTTGCAGCCTTTCCTTTTCATAAACAATTTTTTAATCAGGTGCAATCTGCTTTTGAATGTGCTGGAAAATGACACTACTCCAGGAAGATTCAATTTCTTAGCACAACCTCTTCTCTCTTTGCATGTCTTAAGCAGGCCATACACTGATTGCAATTCAACCGGTTCAGCAGGGACCACCCCGGTTTCGATCAGTGTGTAGCCATCCCTGCTCGACAGAAGTTGATCATTTGATTGACGTCAAGTTGAAGGGACATGTTGGATAACTTTTCCCGATCAGCAGCTTCGGTCACTGAGTAGTGTATTCTGACAGCAGTGGGTTGGCTGTAAGAATATGGCAGGGGGGCTGTTCCTAAACTACAATTTGGCATGCTGGCAAAAAAAAAATTGTCTATGGCCAGATTCATCCCTCTCCTCTTCTGAAAATGTCTAATTATTGCCTGTGCTGGCCCAGGTCCTCCTCCCTTCACCTGCCTACATAACCTTTTATGTAGCTTTCAGGGGAGGTGCAAATGGGTATACAATAAACAGTCACTTGAGTGACAACTTTAAGTCTCTTGGGGCTGCTGACATCACATTCAAGATGTTGGCACAAGGGTTGGTACCTCAACCTGAACACATATTAATTGCACAGGTTCTGTGGCTGATTAAGGTGGCAATTAAACTCACTAAGGCTATGTTCACACTAGCTTGTGTCAGACAGGTGTCAGACAGGCATTTGGGAAGCGTTTTTAATGTTTCTAAAACGCCTAAGAAAATTCTGCACATGGCAGCACACAGTGCTGTTCACACTGAAGCGTTAGCGTTGCGTCGTGGCAAAACTGACACCTCATGTCGAGTCAGGAGGAGTTGAAGCCTCCCATTCAAGTCTATGGTACCGCTCTTCAAATACCTGGCAGGCGTGTACGGAGCGGTTGCGAGGCGTTTGCGGAGCGTTAATATCATTTAACTTCATTATAGGCATTTGTGGTGCGATTTTAACGCTTGGCAAACACCTCAAAACCGCGCATAGGGCATTTGGGGAGTGTTTGAAAAGCGTTAAAAATGCTTCCCAACGCTTGTCAAATGCTATAGGTGCTTTTGGCAAGTTAGAAATAAAGTCAAGTGTGAACGAGCCCTTAGTGCTTTATCTGCATTAAATTGGCCTCAGAACCTGTGTAATTAACCACTTGCCCTCCAGAGGATTTACCCCCCTTCCTGACCAGGCCATTTTTGCGTTACAGCGCTGCGTTACTTTAATTTCAAGTATTTTTATTGAAATATTTTAATACAATACAAAACAGTATATATCAGTGCGGTTCACAACTGGGTACATACATACTTCAAATGGAAAAAAGAAAATTCCCCACCAATTGGCTGGGGATATATGGGCAAATATCGAGTGTCTCAGAATATGTTGTTTATTTAGTGTGAACCCATTAGGTGTGAAATATTGTAAAAGGTGCAGCAAGACAGGGTGGGGGGGGGGGAAAGGGGAGGGAGAGGAAGGGGGGGGACACCAGTCTAGGACAAAGGGGTCACAATTTTACAAATTTATGTATATATTATCATCTTATAGAGCAGTTGAGGTTTTGTAGCCATCGAGACCATTGGGTATTGAATTTGTGATGGGGTGAGTTATTGAGGGCCGATCTTCTTTCCATATCGCATTGGAAATTCAGGTCCGCTATAAGGGCAGAGAGAGAGAAGGAGTTGTGGAGGATTTCCTTAGCTTAGTGATGTTAAGTTTTGCGGCTACTAATATGTGGATAATGACAGTACGGGATTTGGAACTGAATTTGTCGATTCCTATATGGAGAAGTGCGAGAGCAGGATTAGGAGCCACTTGGGCTCCATCAATTGAGTAGATCAAGTGGAAGATACTGTTCCAGTATGATCTTAGAGATTTGCAGGTCCAAAGTATATGTAGAGTTGATCCTATTTCTCCGCATTGTCTCCAGCAAGCGGATGAGTGGTGGGGATAATATAAAGAGAGTTTGACAGGTGTAAAATACCACTGGTGTAAAATTTTCATGTACGATTCCCAGTGGGAGCTACATCTAGTTGCTTTATGTGTGATGTTAAAGGTGTTTTTCCCATGTGTGGGGTTGGATTGATTGTGAGAGAATTTTCTCCCAGTTGGATAGAGAGGTGGATCGCTGCATTACTTTAACTGACAATTGCACGGTCAAATGAAATGTACGTCCCTTTTTCCCACAAATAGAGCTTTCTTTCTCTGGTATTTGATCGCCTGTACATTCTTTATTTTTTGCGCTATAAAAAAAAAGATCGACATATTTGAGAGAAAAAAAAAATTCTGACTTTTTGCTATTAAACATGTCTAGTAAAAAATATTTAAAACATCGAATTTCTTCATAAATTTAGGCCAAAATGTATTCTGCTCCATGTCTTTGCTAAAAAAAATCCCAATACATGTAAATTAATTGGTTTACGTGAAAGTTATAGTGTTTACAAATGGCGGTATATATACTGGAATTTTTTTTTTTGCTAGTAATGGTGGCGATCAACGACTTATAGCGGGACTGCGGCGGGCATTCTGATACTGGGGGGAACTGACTTGGTGTTACTGACATCCCCAGTGACACCAATGCAGTGATCAGTGCTAATAAAAAGCACTGACACTGTACTATAATGGCACTGGGCAGGAAGGGGTTAACATCTGAGGTGATCAAGGGGTTAACTGTGTGCTGTTTAACATTATGTGCTGTGTGTGTGCTTCACTGTAAGCACACTGCTTTGTGTGGCTCTGTTATGCAGAGCCATACAAAGCAGTGTGCAGGAGCTGACGGGAGAGATCTGTGTTGTTTCTCCTCCATCAGTAATACTCGGCGATCACCGGGTGACGGCGAATAATCACCGACCAGGACAACTGAATGCGCCGAATGGCGGGGCAGGTAGGGAGCACGCACGCCCTCCTACCCAGAAATGCAAAATCACATATATATATATATGTGATTTTGTGCACCCCTGCCTCCCTGTAGCAGTATATGTGCTATAGGGTGGAGGAGTTAAAGGGATGAGGTGGCAACCCTAGTTGGCACTCAGCAGCAGCTCAGTGCTTTTGGATGTCTACATAATGGAGGCTTTTACAGGTCAATGTCATGCATAAAATATGTATTTTACTTCCTATGGAAGTTTCTGAAACAAATACCAGTTAAAGCTCTAAACACATTTTTTTTGTTCATATATTTATGCATACATTTTCAGTTAAGCTATCCTAATCGTCTGTAAACCCTGATTCTCAGGTGCAGGAATTCTTTAGAAAGACCTTGAAGTACAAATTGCCTTGTATCAGTAATAACAGAGAACATGATGTAAATAAAGGCAGGTGTAGCTGGCTAAGAAGTGATCTGAGACTCACCTACATCCAGCTGTGCTTGTCATTTTTACCAAGCGTAGTGCAATAGGATGGTCCTAATGAGATGTTTTTCACTGCAGTCAGCAAAACAGGCGAGTGCAGGTGCTCACAGTAGGAACGTTACCCATAGGTTTCAAATAACCCTCTGATCAGCAGTGGGGGGTTGTCTTGGCACCCTAGTCAAGTGCAGCTCAATGTAGGCAAGGCTCAGATGGTCTTCAAAATGGCCATTTACACCTGTGACTACAAACATTAAATTAACACAACAAACAAGAATAAATACACATTTTAAAAACATAAAACAAAAAGTAGTATTTGTTAACAGATTAGTGTAGTGATATAGATTCAATATGATTTCATTTGCTTGTTTAATTTGACCTGCTTAATGGAAACAATGAGCATCAGAAAGAGTTGTGAATTAAATGAAATTTATAATCCTTTTGTAGGAGATCACAGTAGGTATGCAGATATATACTGTATATTATCCTATGAGTTACATTTCTTTGAATTGTCTCATCTTTTCGGATACCAGCTTGTAAAACAACCTATTCAGTTTAAAATTAAAATGCTAGGCAAAACGTTTGTGCATATATACAGTCAGGTCCATAAATATTGGGACATGGACACAATTCTAACATTTTTGGCTCTATACACCACCACAATGGATTTGAAATGAAAAGAACAAAATGTGCTTCAACTGCAGACTGTCAGCTTTAATTTGAGGGTATTTACATCCAAATCAGGTGAACGGTGTAGGAATGACAACAGTTTGCATATGTGCCTCCGACTTGTTAAGGGACCAAAAGTAATGGGACAGAATAATAATCATAAATCAAACTTTCACTTTTTAATACTTGGTTACAAATCCTTTGCAGTCAATTACAGCCTGAAGTCTGGAACGCATAGACATCACCAGACGCTGGGTTTCATCCCTGGTGATGCTCTGCCAGGCCTCTACTGCAACTGTCTTCAGTCCCTGCTTGTTCTTGGGGCATTTTCCCTTCAGTTTTGTCTTCAGCAAGTGAAATGCATGCTCAGTCGGATTCAGGTCAGGTGATTGACTTGGCCATTGCATAACATTCCATTTCTTTCCCTTAAAAAACTCTTTGGTTGCTTTTGCAGTATGCTTTGGGTCATTGTCCATCTGCACTGTGAAGCGGCGTCCAATGAGTTGTGAAGCATTTGGCTGAATATGAGCAGATAATATTCCCGAAACACTTCAGAATTCATCCTGCTGCTTTTGTCAGCAGTCGCATCATCAATAAATACAAGAGAAGCAGTTCCATTGGCAGCCATACATGCCCACGCCATGACACTACCACCACCATGCTTCACTGATGAGGTGGTATGCTTAGGATCATGAGCAGTTCCTTTCCTTCTCCATACTCTTCTCTTCCCATCACTCTGGTACAAGTTGATCTTGGTCTCATCTGTCCATAGGATGTTCCAGAACTGTGAAGGCTTTTTTAGATGTCGTTTGGCAAACTCTAATCTGGCCTTCCTGTTTTTGAGGCTCACCAATGGTTTCCATCTTGTGGTGAACCCTCTGTATTCACTCTGGTGAAGTCTTCTCTTGATTGTTGACTTTGACACACATACACCTACCTCCTGGAGAGTGTTCTTGATCTGGCCAACTGTTGTGAAGGGTGTTTTCTTCACCAGGGAAAGAATTCTTCGCTCATCCACCTCAGTTGTTTTCCGTGGTCTTTCGGGTCTTTTGGTGTTGCTGAGCTCATCGGTGCGTTCCTTCTTTTTAAGAATGTTCCAAACAGTTGTTTTGGCCACGCCTAATGTTTTTGCTATCTCTCTGATGGGTTTGTTTTGTTTTTTCAGCCTAATGATGGCTTGCTTCACTGATAGTGACAGCTCTTTGGATCTCATCTTGAGAGTTGACAGCAACAGATTCCAAATGGAAATAGCACACTTGAAATGAACTCTGGACCTTTTATCTGCTCATTGTAATTGGGATAATGAGGGATAACACACACCTGGCCATGGAACAGCTGAGAAGCCAATTGTCCCATTACTTTTGGTCCCTTAACAAGTGGGAGGCACATATGCAAACTGTTGTAATTCCTACACCGTTCTCTTGATTTGGATGTAAATACCTTCAAATTAAAGCTGACAGTCTGCAGTTAAAGCACATCTTGTTCAATTCATTTCAAATCCATTGTGGTGGTGTATAGAGCCAAAAATGTTAGAATTGTGTCCATGTCCCAATATTTATGGACCTGACTGTATATATATATATCACACCAATCAGCCATAACTTTATGACCACCCACCAAATATTGAGTAGGTCTTTCTTTTGCCACCAAAACTGCCCTGACCCATCATGGATCGACACCACTAGATCTCTGAAGGTATGCTGTGGTGTCTGGCACCAAGCCGTCAGTGCCAGATCCTTTAAGTCCTGGAAGTTGGGAGGTGGGATCTCCATGGATTGAACTTGTGTTTTTTCCAGCACATCCCACAGATTTGTGTTCATCAAACCAGTCTTGAACCATTTTTGCAGTGTGACAGGGAACATTATCCTGGAAAAAGAAGCTACTTCCATCAGAGAATACCATTTCCATGAGGAGTATACTTGGTCAACAACAGTGTTTAGGGAGGTGGTGTGTTAAGTAACATTGAAATAAATGGCAGGACCCAAGGTTTCCCAGCAGAACATTGCCCAAAGCATCCTGGTGCCATCTCTTCCCCATTAAAGTGATGGACATGCACCTGACCAGCCAAATGATGTAAAAGAAAACTAGGCCACCTTCTTCCATTTCTCCGTGGTCTAGTTCTGATGCTCATGTGCCCACTGTAGGTACTCTTGGCTATGGACATGGGTCACCATGGTCACTCTTACTGGTCTGCGGCTACGCAGCCCTTTACACAACAGACTGTGATGCCCATTTTTTTTGTTTTTTTTTCTGCTTCCAATACATTAGAGACAACATGTGTACTTGCTGCCTAATATATCCCGGCAACTCTCAGATGCCACTATAATGAAATAATCAGTGTATTCACAAAAGTGTAAAATTTATGGCTGATCCATGTGTGTGTGTGTGTGTGTGTATATATATATATATATATATATATATATATATATATGCACACATGTACATGAACTTTAATGGCATCCCAGTCTTAGTGTATCTATAGGAATGTTTGAGCATTCTTCCAGAAGCACATTTGTGAGGTCAGGCACTGATGTCGGACGAGAAGGCCTGCTTGTAGTCTCCACTCTAATTCAATCCAAAGATGTTCTATCGGGTTGAGGTCAGGACTCTGCGCAGGCCAGTCAAGTTCCTCCAACCCAAACTCACTCATCCATGTCTTTATGGACCTTGCTTTGTGCACTGGTGTGCAGGCATGTTGGAACAGGAAGGGGCCATCCCCAAACTGTTCCCACAAAGTTGGGAGCATGAAATTGTCCAAAATGTCTTGGTATGCTGACACCTTAAGAGTTCCCTTCTCTGGAACTAAGGGGCCAAGCCCAACCCCTGAAAAACAATTCCACACCATAATCCCCCCTCCACCAAACTTTGCACTTGACACAATGCAGTCAGGCAAGTACCATTCTCCTGGCAACCGCCAAACCCAGACATGTTCATCGGATTGCCAGACAGACAAGCGTGATTTGTCACTCCAGCTTCACACCACTGCATCGGACGCTTTGCATTGCACTTGGTGATGTAAGGCTTGGATGCGGCTCCTTGGCCATAGAAACCCATTCCATGAAGCTCTCCACACACTGTTGTTGTGCTAATCTGAAGGCCACATGATGTTTGGAGGTTTTTAGATATTGACTCTGCAGACAGTTGGCGACTTCTGTGCACTGTATTCTTCAGCATGCGCTAACCCCGTTCATTTTAAATTGCCTCTATCGTTTTCCAAAATACCACTAATAGTTGACCGTGGAATATTAAGTAGCAAGGAAATATCATGGATTGACTTATTGCACAGGTGGCAACCTATCACAGTACCACACTTGAATTCATTAAGCTCCTGAGAGCGACCCATTCTTTCAGAAATGTTTGTAGAAGTAGTTTACATGCCTAGGTACTTGATTTTATACACCTGTGGCCATGGAGGTGATTGGAACAGCTGAATCCAATGATTTCGAGGGATGTACCAATACCTTTGGTAAAATAGTGTATGTGTGTGTGTGTGTGTGTGTATATATATATATATATATATATATATATATATACAGTTGTGTTCACAATAATAGCAGTGTGTTGAAAAAAGTGAATAAAGCTCAAAATCCTTCTAATAGCTTTTATTTCCATACACACAAATGCATTGGGAACACTACACATCCTATTCCAAATCAAAACATGAAGAAAAATATATCAAATTTGTGTTGTTCCTCTACAAAAATTGAAGAAAAGTGAATATTAGACTGTTCAAAAAATAGCAGTGTTTGTATTCTTCTTTACAAACTCAAACATTCACTATATAAACTGAAAAAAAATGCTTTCCTTTGAATCACTTAATTAATATTTAGTTGTATAAGCACTGTTTCGAGAACTGCTGTACATCTGTGTTGCATGGAGTCAACCAACTTCTGGCCCCTGTGAACAGG